TAAAATGGTAAATTATTTTTTATGGATTTCGACACCATAAACTCTTTTATTTTTGAAATTTTAAAATTTTAAATAATTTATAAATGATTAAAAACAATTGAAATTTTGTTATTATAATGATAAAATTCATCATTGAAAATAGTGAAATTTTCACATATTAAGGAACTGCAGAGAAGAAGAAATTGGAGATGATTTTGATTCATTAATATCATATACTTAAGTTTATGAGTTGGTTCTATTATCTTTTAAAAAATGAGAAGAAATGTTAGAATTTTAATAAAACTTTATTAACACCTATTTTTCTAAATGACAATATATGGAAATGATTTATTATTAGTCCACATCACTAGTGAGGATAGTGTAAATCCTCACTAGTAAGGACCTAAGTATTGCTCAAAAGAACGATACTTAGGTCCTCAAGATCTACACCATTTTCACTAGTGATGTGGACCAACAATAAATAGACATATCATCTTTAATTTTTAAATTTAATATGGTGGATAAATACTCACTTACCAAATAACATATAATGATTTATTATTAGTCACATCACTAATGAAGATGGTGTAGATCTTCACTAATGAGGACTTAAGTATTGCTCAAAAGAAAGATACTTAAGTCCTCACTAGTAAGGATGTATACCATTCTCACCAGTGATGTGGACCAATAATAAATAGATATACCATATTTTATTACTAAATTTATTATGGTTGATAAATACTCATTACCAAATCACAGATATAGTGATTTATTATTAGTCTATATCACTAGTGAGGATGGTGTAAATTCTCACTAGTGAGGACCTAAGTATTGTTCTATGAAAAATAATATCATAGTAAATTCATTAAAATAGTTTGATTTTCTTTCTTTCTTCAAACTGAGTACTATTTCTTTATTTTCTTTTATTAGTTAATCAAACACGATAAGTGGTCTACACTATCTCTCATTTTTTTATTTTATTTTATAACTAATGTCATCGATTTGATTTTTTCTTTTTCACTTACGAAACATAGCCTTATAATTATACAAAACATTCCTTTTTTTAAAAAAAAAAAAAAAAAAATGGTAAGTTAAATTAGTGCATCTAATTAGGAAAGTAACAATGAAAATGAAGAGAAATTCTTGTACTCTCTCTGTGGTTGAACTTTTCTATACTTAGAAAAATCTAGATGACTGGTTAAAGTGAATGTTGTACTGGTCAACCAGAAATTCAATTTCAAACTAGAAAAGATAATTAATAATAACACCACATTTTAATGTACTTTATGGATTTGCATTTGGACTGTCATATTTTTATTATCATTATTTATTTATTTATTTATAAAACAAGTAGAGAACAACAAACTGGACTATCTAAAATTCATGAACACCAGCAAAATTGGCACGTTTTCTTTTTATTTTCTTCTTTCAAAATTTTCTTAGCAAATTGAATTTCAAACTAGAAATAATAATAATAATAATAATAATAACACCACATTTTAATGTACCTATGGCTTTTTATTTGGACTGTCATATTTTATTTATAAGACAAGAAGAGAACAACAAATTTATAAGACAAAAAGAGAACAACAAAACTGAACTGTCTGGATAATTTTCCCTCTTTCTTTATATGTAACTTTTCTCTCTCATTTTCCGCCTTTCCTTTAAAAATTTATCTCTGTAACTTTATTCATTGGTAACCAGCAAAATTGGCACGTGTTCTTTTTATTTTTTTCTTTCTTTCTTTCAAAATTTTCTTCTTCTCTTTAACTTTATAGGATATTATTAAGATGTTGTGAAAGAATATATGGGCAAAGTGATCATTTCATAATAATTTATATTTTGATTTTTTTATAATAAATTAAAAAATAAGAGTAAATTAATAATTGTACTTTTAAGTTGGTCGGAAATTAACTTCCGTTGGCCTTTAAGGGAGTATGTTGCTTACTTTTAATAGTTCAGGGAGTAACTTACTTCCAAAAATAGTTTAGGGTATCATGCAACATGGATATAGATTGAGGGATTTTTTTTTGCTTTTTGCTTAAAAAAAAAAAAAATGTCATATAACATTCTCCTATAATTTTATTTTAAAGTAATTTGAGCTAAAGTAAAATCATATGAAAAATTATTTTATGATTTTGAAATTATTGATTTCGATTGCACTAGTTGATAATAATCTACAAAGTTAAATAAAATTGATACAAGGTTGACATATTTATTTATTTGTTGGTTAATTAATTACGCTAGTGATCATGTACTTTTGCACTATTTTTCATACTACAAATTTTCCAAATTAAATGAAAACTCATCATAACTACCATGAAATGAATAGATTAGAGAATAAAACCCAGTTGGAAAATAAAGCAAGAGAGACTTTCATTTGGCAGACGGAAGAGAGAAGATAAAGGAAGGGCGGAAAGCACTTTCCCTGTGATCGCGTGTTTTGTGTGTGTGTGTGATCGCGTGTTTAGTGCACCACTCCAATTCTCTTTCTTCGACGACTTTTTCTCCATGTTTTTTGATTGTTCAATTTTATTAATTTTATTTTGAGATTTTTTCTTCATCACTACAAACTTTATCATTTTGAATTTTAACAATTTAGAATGGTAAATTATTTTTTATTGATTTCCACACCATAAACTCTTTTATTTTTGAAATTTTAAAATTTAAATAATTTATAAAAGATTAAAAACAAGCGAAATTTCGTTATTATAGTGATAAAATTCATCATTGAAAGCAGTGAAATTTTAACATATTAGGGAACTGTCGGGAAGAAGAAATTGAATATGATTTTGATTCGGCAATTTCATACACTATAGTTTATGAGTTGGTTCTAAACTTGGTTCTGTTATCTTTTAAAAAATGAGGGGAAATGGAACAAAACTCTAGAATTTTGATAAACGCTAGAACAAAACACTAGAATTCTAAAGTTTCATTCGTTGGTTTAGTGCACCACTCCTGTTCTCTTTCTTGGACAACATTTTTCTCCATGTTCTTTGATAGTTCAATTAATTTCTCATAATTCCCGTCGGAACTAGAACCGGAACCGTTCACAACGGTTCTTTAAAAATGAAACTGGAACCGAAACCGTGAAGGTATGGAACCATCACGTTTTGGTTCCGGTTCGGTTCCACTGAAATCGACTGTTTGCTGTTTTGTTCCCTTATTTAGTAGAATTAGTACTGATTTGAAGGCTTTGTTTATCCCATAGCTAAAACAATTAACATAATACAAAAAAAAATATAAACTGATAGTATAAATTCTATAATATTAGAGTCATCCCATGGTAATAAATCAATTGATAGTCTAAAATCTGAAATTCTAAATAACCTTTCAAAATAAAAAAAATGAGAGGATGAATGAGATACTACTTGAAGATGAGAGGCTGTAAGCTGTGATCATGAAGATGAGACGCTATAAGCCGTGATCTGAAGATGAGAGGATGAAAGGAGGCAAGGTGCCGAAGGCGATGAGGATTCGAGGAAGCTTGAGGCGAGGGCGATGAGGATTCGAGGAAGCTTGGCTGCTTGAGATGAGGGGAGGCGAGGGTTTCCTTAAAAGATGAGATGAGACTTTAGGTAAATTAGTCTTTAGATGAGTTTTTTACTTTTTTTTGTGTGGCCGCATGAGTGACCACGTGGCTGAGACTATGACTGGTCTATGAGTGACTGAGTTTATTCACTGAATTTACTTTAGTCTTTATCATATATATATATATATATATATATATATATATATATATATATATATATACGGTTCCGGTTCTTACCGATTCCCATGGGCTGGAACTGGAATCGGAACTAGAACTGTATGCTCACGATTCCTAAATTTGAAACCGGGACCGGAACTGAAATCGCGAGAACAGAAAAAACGGTTCCGGTTCCACGGCTCCGGTTCTTTTGTGCACCCCAAATTTTAACCGCACTTCTAATTTAAATAATTAAATGATGCGTGTATTATGAGGCCGCTCCACGTACTCTAAAAAAAAAATTACATGATGAACCAAAATTTTATGCTGCCTTAATTTAGACCTAAAATGTCATATCACATTCTCCTGTAATTTTATTTTAATTTGAGCTAAAGTAAAATCGTATGAAAAATTGATTTATGATTCTAGAATTTTTGATTTCGACTCCACTAATTGACAATAAACTAAAAAGCTAAACAAAATTAATACAAAGTTATCTGGCAATTTAAAATATATATATATATTTTATTTTTATGTTGTGATGGTGGATATGGTGGTATAAATATTATTATATATAAGTTACATCTATATGTATGAAGAGGTTATTTTGGTCTATTACTTTAGTTAGGAGGTTAAATTTATAATTTCATAATTTAAATAGAATTGTTGACAAATCAAATGGTTTAAAGATAATTTCATATGATTCCAGAGGTCGGGAGGGAATGTCAATGCACATGTTTAAAACCTTAGGGGTGTCATTGCACATGTTTAAAAAAATCATTGACCGACCGTTGAATAGCATTAATCAAAACATTAAGGCTCCGTTTGTTTGGACGTAAAAAATTTTTCAAAAAATATTTTTTTATTTTCTCGTGAATAACTTATCTATCAATTTTTAGCAAGTTATTTTATATGACGCGCCCCATAAACTCGACCTCAATCTCAACCTCAACGTAGAAGTTTGCCAAACATTGACAAAAAAAAAAAAAAAATTAATAATAATAATATTTTACCAGAAAAAAAATATTTTTTTTGAAAAATATTTTATGTTGAAACAAACAGGTACAATATTATTAAATTATTATTTAACATTGATACGATTAAATAAATGTATCAATTATGGATTAAGTCAGCAAAAAAATAAGTTACAAATAGTTTGAATTTGAGGAAAAGCACGGAGATTGAGAATGACTGTAACCAGGGAGCACGAAAACGACACATTAAAAATGAATCTTGTGAAGTGCGCTTTTTGTCTTTGGATTGAATTGTCCAAACAATCCCAAAAATTATAGGACAGATGGAGTGAAAAAAATGTTGGACGATTCATGATGAAAATGGAGAAAAAGGTTAGGTTACATGTGTGTAAACTACTGCACACCTTTCATGACTTGGCATCCATCATTGAGTAATACAATTCTCATGTGCCCCCGGTGACCACTATCATTCTGTGTAAATGAATACGACTTTACGCGACGACCATGTTTACACATGTATGTATATACCTGTGTATATATATATATATATATAGACCTGTTTGGTGCTTCCCGCACATCATCACACAGACTAAACCTAATTTACAAACCCATTCAAACTAATGGCTTCGTCTTCTCTACCTTTCTCTTCTCTTCAATTGCAATTTCCTTCCCAAACACCATCAAAGCGTTCGTCCAAGGCCTCAACTCGTAGACTCGCTGTCCGTCCGATCTCCGCTTCCATATCAGAGAAACCGTATGTGCCGCCGCCGCCACCACCTCCGGCTACGGTGGCGCCGCCGGAGCCCACCAAAAAGCTTCCGATCCGGAGAATCCCAGGAAACTACGGCCTTCCATTTGTGGGTCCCATCAAAGACCGACTGGATTACTTTTACAATCAAGGCCGAAACGAGTACTTCAAGTCCCGAGTTCAGAAGTACCAATCAACCGTGTACCGGGTCAACATGCCACCCGGTCCGTTCATTTCCTCCAACCCAAACGTCGTCGTCCTCCTCGACGGCAAGAGCTTTCCGGTTCTCTTCGACGTGACCAAGGTCGAGAAGAAGGACCTCTTCACTGGGACCTACATGCCCTCCACTGAACTCACCGGCGGTTACCGAGTCCTCTCCTATCTCGACCCGTCCGAGCCGAGTCACGGCAAGCTCAAGCGACTCATGTTCTTCCTCTTGAAATCTAGTCGCGATAGGGTCATACCGGAGTTTCACAACACCTTCACCGAGCTATTCGAAACCCTAGAGAGTGGGCTAGCCACTGATGGCAGAGCCGATTTCGGCGGAGCTAACGATCAAGCCTCCTTCAACTTCCTGGCTCGGTCTCTGTTCGGGACCAACCCTGCCGATACCAAACTCGGAACCGACGGACCACAATTGATCAGCAAATGGGTGTTGTTCCAACTCAGTCCTATACTCGTCCTCGGCTTGCCGAAGCTTCTAGAAGAAGCTCTCCTCCACACCTTCCCTCTACCACCATTCCTCATCAAAAAGGACTACCAGAGACTCTACGACTTCTTCTACGACTCATCGACTCCGATTCTCGACGAGGCCGAGAGGCTCGGCGTTTCGAGAGACGAAGCTTGCCACAACCTCTTATTCGCTACGTGCTTTAATTCCTTCGGTGGCATGAAACTCTTCTTCCCCAACATGATAAAATGGATCGGCCGAGCAGGGGTCAAACTGCACACCCAATTGGCGGAGGAGATCCGATCGGCCGTCAGATCCAACGGCGGAAATGTGACGATGGCCGCCATGGAACAGATGCCGTTGATGCAGTCCGTCGTGTTCGAAGCGCTCCGGATCGAACCGCCCGTACCGTTACAGTTCGGCCGGGCAAAACGCGACCTGGTGATAGAGTCTCACGACGCTGCGTTTGAGGTCAAAGAAGGTGAAATGCTATTCGGGTTCCAACCGTTCGCGACGAAGGATCCGAAGATATTCGACAGAGCCGAAGAATTTGTCCCGGATCGGTTCGTGGGTGAGGAAGGAGAGAGGCTGCTGAAGCACGTTCTATGGTCAAACGGTCCCGAGACCGAGTCTCCCACGGCGGGGAACAAACAGTGTGCCGGAAAAGATTTCGTGGTCTTGATGTCGAGATTGTTGGTGGTGGAATTGTTCCTCCGTTACGATTCGCTCGCGATCGAGGTGGGTAAGTCGGCGTTAGGCGCTTCCGTTACGTTCACCTCTCTGAAGAGAGCCAGTTTCTGATCAAAGTCATTTGGGAGTGGAGGGGTAGTTTGGGAAAGTGGAGGGTGGGGGTATCACGTGAAATAGGCTCTGTCTGCTGTAAAATAGTGGGTGACTGTTAGCTAAAACAGGATAAAAAGAGAATCTGGAAAGATTATGGGTTGAGTGGGGTGAGCCCCCCACACTAGTTTAGAGTTTGTGACTTTGTGAAATGGAGAGATGTAAGTGTATATCATATCCATCTTTTGGTATGTATATGAATATTTTAACTTTTTAAGCTAATTGGGGTGAACTGTTTTACAGTGAAGCAAATATGTGAATTGTGCCTTTTAATTCCACAAAATTGAAGAAACTGATCAGTTCATACTTAAAAATAAGTAAATAAATAAATCTAGAAATGACAATTATATCAGTCTGTTTTTTATATTCGAAATTGAATTTTTTTCTTAAAATGTTTTATTTGGGAGATTTAAGCATCGAAATTGGACTTTCAGGCCCGATTCCGGTATGGTTGAACGACGTCGAATGAATCCCACCATTAGCGTGAGTTGGATTTCGTCCAGTGCAATAACGAATCTCATCAAGCGTACCACGACTCTTGGGAATGCTTTCATGTGGAAATTGGAAAGTAGTGGTCCAAGTGAAAGACATGAATAGTAATGCCAACAAGCCAGTGCTAATCAAAATGGTACTTGTCTATACATTAAAAAGGAAAGAAAAAAGGAACAACTTTAGATCACTGAATTACATGACTGACCATACTGTTTGATGATGGCAAGCTTTGCTCACTTGCCCATGAGTCCTGCACAGAAACGGGAGAAAACTCGTTTACTTTTTCCACTGAACTCATACTATCAGACTCAATCTGCAGTGCAAATAAACCTCCATTATTCAATTCCGCGTTCTTTAATGTCGCGGTTAGTGGTTTTTCGCTTATATCAGAAGACGAAGAGCAAGAGGAGGATGGCTTTGAAGAAGCTGTGATGTTCTCTTCTGATGATGCCCATCTACTAAGCCTGATTTGCTCCAATTCAGCTGCTACTTCCGTCATTGAAGGCCTCATGTCTCTATGAGACGCGAGGCATCGGAAAGCTACCTCAGCCACCTTGTGCACTGAGGAAAGTGTCCAAGCATCCCCGTGTGGCTCAATCGAAGTGTCTATTATCTCCTCCAAACTCCTTTTCTTGATCCTATCAATAGCAAGAGCTGCCAAATTTACCTCATTGTTGGGCCGTGAAAAGTCCACCGCTTTTAACCCTGTTATGATCTCCACGAGGACTACTCCGAAGCTATAAACATCACTTTTATCAGAGAGATGAAAGTCCTGATGGTACTGGGGATCAAGATAACCGGGAGTACCCTGCGGGGCAGTTGAAATGTGGGACGATTCGATCATTCCAAGCCTAGAAAGACCAAAATCGGCGACTTTGGTTTTGAAGTTGTAATCCAAAAGTATGTTGCTGGACTTGATGTCTCTATGGTATATGGGAGGGTTCATTTCAGAATGGAGATATGATATGGCTTGAGCTGCCTCCGTGGCAATGGTGAGCCGAACTGGCCACGTAAGTCCGTCACTTCTCTCTCCATGTAAATGCTGAGACAATGTTCCATTCGGCATGAACTCGTACACAAGAATTTGTTCACCATATTCAATCGAGCAACCTAGGAGACGAACAAGGTTTGGGTGGCTCACGGAAGAGATGAGCTTGATCTCGTTCATTACTTGCTCAATGCTATCAGTATCTCTGTGTTTGATCCTTTTAATGGCAACCCACTCGTTGGTGTGGAGTTTTCCCAAGTAAACTGTTCCGTAGCCTCCCATTCCAAGCCGCTGTTTGTCTGAAAAACTATCTGTGGCTCTCTCAATTTCCTTGTAGGGATATATAGGAATGCTGATGTCCATCGTTTCAGATATATGTTTCAGTGTTCTGTACCTAGTTCTCAAATCGGAGCGTCGTCTAACCAAACAATATATTATTCCCAAACTGACCATCAAAGCAGCTACTGCAACACCTGAAACAGCAGATTTCCACACCTTAGGAATATTGGTTGACATAAAGTTTTGAACCTCAATTTACCTTTCAAATTTCAATATATATATGCATAATCATAGTCCTATTCACTGGTTGACAAAATCATTGAAAATGATATTCACACCTACTTAGTTAAATGTATTTGTCAAGTAAAACAGTTATGGTCATTGATGGCCGGAGGTGAGACCCAAATAAACTGGCCGTAATATCATGACTCTAAGATCATTATCGATGAACATGTTTGTTTGTTAAACACAATCTACATTGGGTTGAATTGCATGGAGTAGAATCTTGGCATACTGAATCAAATCCTCATATTTTAAGGTAATGTCAGATCATAATGGATAATGGATACCCAAAAATCTGCATTCAAAAGTGGTCAAGAATTGTGCCACTCTAATGACAAAATCATTACCATTGTGCCCTTTCACTGTATCAAAATGGTCCTATGATTGTAATGCAAGAGAAAAAGCAAATGTTTTCTCAAGAACTTTGCAGAACAAAAAAATGCCATGTAGGGACAGTGGCAGAGCGAGACATGCAACTAAAAGTTAACACTTCAGATAAAGTGGCTTAGAGAATAGTTCATAATTTTGGAAAATCTTGCAAACTATGATTGCCTATCCCAAGTCATCTCACTTTCGGTGCCATTATTATCGGTTCCACAACCAAGGGTTATACTCACTACCAGTGACCGGGCTCAGAAAATTGTATGAGAGGGGGATAGTCTTCAACAACAATAGTGGATGGTTGTGTTGGGATTTATATGCCCTGGCATAGCAAATTCCTATCTGGATTGTATTGACATATATTCCTGACATATCTGAAATATTTATGATTTATATAATTGGTGAATTCAATGTATTATGTTTCAATTCACTATGAAATTGATAGTGTCCAGTTAATTACAAGAAATATTTATATATATGTATGTGATGACAATCAATGCATGATATATAAATAGTAACTATAAATTGTTCATAGTCGGTAATTATGGATGGACTCATAATTAATTAAGACTTGAACTGGATCCGCGTTAGGTTGAGATATATTGCGAGAGCCGTCGTATGCAATTACTCCCTATCACCGTCATGGCATTTGACTCTTAAGCATGAGAAAAGTATAGACTCTTTTATTAATTAATAATTACTTTGATTTGTTCGGCGGATTCTTCGGGATCCTTAGACCGACACTTTGGGTAGTTATGTAATTAATAGTTAGAGGGTTATATTTTCAATATTTGCATCATTGCTACTTGTATTTATTTTGTATTGATTATGGTTGATCACAAAGTAAATTCGAAGGCCTTCGTGTGTTTTTAGACAAAATGATTTATTATATATTTATTTATTTAAATTATTATTTTTGTCAAACAAATGTTTTATTGTGATCGAGCCAGAAATAATCAAAGGTACCAAAATAAATATATTAATTAAGTAGTCGGATTGATGGCTATATTTATCCGATAACTAATTATGCATAGAGGGGTCAAAGTGCAATATTGACTTAGAGGTTATTTATTATTTAATTGGAGTTCAATTAATTTCTTTTAGTGGAGTAGAAATTAATTTATGAATTAATTGAATTGGGTCCATGGACCGGGCCAATTATTAATTCATTGTAGCCAATAAAATAATAGGCCCAATGGATTCTCACTCATAGCCCAACTTGATATTGGAATCATATTAGATTTGAGACATATGAATTAGAGATGGAGAAGGATTTGTTGTTTCCTTTTCTTTATTTTTATGTTGCCTATAAATATACATGGTCTATGTATATTTTAAGGGGTGATTTTTATGAGAAGGAAAAAGGAATAAATTTTCTCTCTCTAGAAAATTAGGGTTTATGTTCTCATCTAATGGAGGCTCCCACAAGCCTAGTTTTCCAAGGTCATTCAAGGAGGCTTATGAGTGATTCCTAAAGGTAAGACCATTACCAAGAAGATGGAGATCCATGGAAAAGATGTCTAGCAAAAGGGATCTACAATAAGTGAGAACATTCACTTTAGAGGAGAGATCTGAGGTTTACTCAAACCTTGATGTAAGTATTCAATCTTTTAGTTGAATAATACATCATATTTTATTTTATTTTTTGCATAAAACTTGTCTCTATGTGATGAATCAAGATCTATGAATTTAAATCCCTCGAAAAGTTTTTAAAACTAGCACGTTTCCCAACAGATTGAAGTTTTTATAGGATTAATATGAGTATGTGAGTTTTGGAAAAATAATTCGGTTTCACAAAATGAAAGTTCATTTGAAGTTGCAAACTAGTGAATTTTCTTTGATTTTTCTTCAACAGCTAGTGAGAAGAAGGATTACCTCCAACCAAAACACCAATTCTAGCTGTACCACCACATTTGCCTGTCATATAGTTTGCAAAGTTGCATTCCGGAGAGGCTGTTTGCATTATAAAATTCAAAAAACCAACTTTTAATATTTGAAAAAAATAACATAATAAACAACATGATACACAACAATATATAACTTATACAAGCAACATATAAATAAATTAATTTACACACTATATTTCTATCTAAGGAGTAAATTATGCTATTTAAATTAAGTTACAAACTCCAACGGACTAGTTTAAAGGTGTATTCGGTTACATACAATTGGAATCTTGAAATTAGAATTTGTAAAATTTTAAAAAAATAATTAAAAAAATTGAACAAAAATTTTCAAATTCTATTAATTTTAATTTAAAGACTCTAATTATATCTAACGGAATACACTATAACTTTATTAACTTTTTATCTTAGCTATTAAAGAACACTACCATTTTTAGAAGTCAAGTCATTATTGACCGCGTTAGTATTTCTTCCACTGTGAAATTCCAATCATCTTAGCATAGATTAATCAAGTAAGAATCCCGAAAGCTTCATTGCTTTAGTGGTACAAAGTGATTTTAGGATCACATATATATATATATATTAAAATTGAGAATCTGTATTCAATCATTTGGATATTTTTATACAACATATATGATATTGACATCTTTGCGATATAGGACATGGACAATGAGGTTTCTTTACAAGTAGAAATCAAAATAATAGGAGGGTCCATCCCTTGAGATATAGGGTCCCTCCCTTTAATGCATCATTGTGACTTGTTCTCTTTGCTTAGTTTAAATAAATAGCACCACCGAACTAATGTTGGAAAGAAAAATTGGAGGGACTAGGCAAATAGATTAGGTTGGTTTTAACAGCTGGACCTCATATGAAAGTTTGATCAAAACCCTTGGCTCGATATTATTGATTGAACATAAATGGATTGATATCAGGACAATACTTACTGGTTCCTCTTGGGTTTGGTTGTCCTTATTTGTAATTATAGAGACGTTATATTATAAAAAAAAAAAATTAAAATTAAATAGACGTTTTTGGTTTTAATATAATTTTATTTACCGAAAAAAATAAAGTATTAATTTGTTTTTTATTTTTATTTTTATGGTAATTAAAATATAAATAAATTATACGAATTTCACTTATAATTTATCATAATTACAAGAATCTCTCTTATTTATTTATTTATTTTTTAAAATTACATTGACCTCACCTAACAATGAAACATTTTTTACACATAAATATATATATTTTTTAACATTCAACACGAGTCAAGGACAGAATTTGCTGGTTAAAGTGGAAAACATTTTGAATGTTATAAGACAACATTCAATTACCAAAATACCCTCATATTTTTTTAACATTATATACAATTATTAGTCTGTGTAATAATGTATTATTATTATGAGGGGTGAGTGTAATTTTAAAAATTATAGAGAAATTTTTTGTAATTATTACAAATCATAAGGGTGTATTTAACCTTAAAATATTAATTCTTAATCAGTGGATTATATGCGCTCTTACAAAAATCCAATTCATCTAAACAAGTCACGGACCATAAAATCCAATTCATGCTGTCAAATGTGTGGTTTCTTATAATTAATCATCATTACAAATCATAAGGGTGTATTTAACCTTAAAATATTAATTCTTAATCAGTGGATTATATGCGCTCTTACTAAAATCCAATTCATCTAAACAAGTCACGGACCATAAAATCCAATTCATGCTGTCAAATGTGTGGTTTCTTATATTTAATCATCTCTTGTACTTTTATGACCCATGTTATTATGACATGTGCGTATAATTTCAATTCAAGGTATTGTTCCCACCATTTGCTATCTCAATATTATTATTATTTTGCATTTTTTTTTAAAAGTAAAAACTTCATGATACAAGAAAAGTTTATATATCTCAACTATATCTAAAAAATACATTATTTATATAAGCAGCAGTCAGTTCCGGGTCGCGATAGCCATTTTTTATCTTGATTGAGAATACAAGGAGGAGAGTGAAATTAAGTTTAGTTGTCTAATCCTAAAAATATGTTCCACTTGGCAGTATCAGGATCATGAATATGATATTTTTTTAATTGTGTCCGTGATAACATGGTATTTTATTAAATACTGAAACTCTGACCCACTCAATGTTATCGTGAATACAATATCTAGATTCTGGAAGAATGCCTCTCAAGTCTCATCGTTAGAGATGAAAACACCGCTAATTATTTTAACAAATAATATATTTTTTTTTATGTAATCACTCATTTTCAAGATTCGATATCCTCATTTTTTGATACTATATAATCTCTTATTAAAATCTTTGATTCCTAATTTTAAATTTTGAACTCTTCTTTAGCAGAGAAATCGAATACAATTCGAATACGAATCAAGTACTTATTCTCTTACTTAGCAGAGAACTCTTCCTCATTTTTTCAAAATTCTATTGCTTTTGTTTCGGACTTTCTCCTTTTTTTAGTGTCAACCATTCTGTAATTACAGAATATAATTAATATTCTAACAAACCTTTATTCAGAACGAATTTAATTATGGGCTCTAAGTATTAAGAGACGCAACGCGAAACTCACATAACAAAAGATACAGAAATAACAAAATAACGAAATATTCAAAAATTAATTATGTGACCCTAATATAATTAATTGATCACAGAAATAACTAAATATTAAAGTATAAATATTAAAGTGCAAGGAAGTCTTTCTTAATGAATATTCAAAAATTTAGAATATTTAAAAATTCAGAATATTCAAAAATATTCTTCAATGAATATTCAAAAAAAGCCTTTCTCAATGAGAGAGTCTTTCTCAATGAATATTTAATATGACCCCAACAATCATGTTGACAATTAGGTTCTTCAATTATTATTTTTCAAATGGAAAGAAAATAAATAAATTTTGTAATACAATTATTGAACTCAATAAATTCAGGTAATCAGTTGAAAAGTCACAGCAAGTGGAGTCCACTTAATATTTCAAATGCTTTAAAAAAATTAAAATCCTTTTAAACTAGCGAGCTATTCAAAATATTAGCAACTTTTTAAAAGTAATTAAAAATTTGGGAACTCCGGACCAACCGACGGCGGCGAGTTAGAAAATTTTAATTGGGGCCAAATAATAATATAAAGTTAGATTTAATAAATAAATAAAATAATTACAATTTATTTATTTATTTATTTTTTCTAGTGTATTCTTAATATACATTTTTAAGAACAAATCTATAAATGATAGTCCAGTATTTTTTTTCCTTTTGTTTCTCTCTCTAAATCATAAAAAATAATTTTTATATATATATATATATATATAGTACTAATTTAGCAAGACTTACAAAATAATAAACACTTCTATTATTAAGTTTGAATTTTTAAAGACAATACCAATAGGCTCATTAGACTTTGAAGAGTCATAATTAGTTTATTTCACAAATCATCTTTAATTTCCATAAATAATTAACTATAAATGAGAACTATATAAATTTTGGAAGGTCAACTTTAGTTTTTTTTTTTTTAATAAAAAATTACTATTAATAACAATAAATAATTACTGTTAATAAAATTCTGAAACATATTTAGGGAGAGCAAATTTAAGATTCTATACAAAAATTATCATTAATAGCTATAATTTTTTTTAAAAATAGGGGGACCAAAACAACTTGTCAATTTTTTAACCAAAAAAAAAATTTCCAACAACTACTACTAGTCCATATCATTCAAGTATTTAACAACCTGTCCTAATCTTGTGTGCTTATGCAAGAATTATAGCATGATGACATTATAACATGTATTAATGGTAATTTTATTTTGTTATGACGAGTTATAATTGACTGAAAATGAAATAATTTTCGACATTAATTTTGGGACAACTAAATTGAAAAAAAAGTGACAAGAATTTTGGTCAAGGGAGTAGTTAGATATGCTGATTAATGTAGATGCATGACAAGAATTCATTAATTCCGGCAAGTAAAACTTACCTTTCCGGCAGCCCGAACCGGCTGGATACCCGTCGCCCTCAAACCCTTCCAAGCAATAGCACCGATATCCTGGCCGTCCATTCATCGTGGAAGACACAATTCTTGTACAATTTGAATTCGGAGAACACTTGCAGTCCCCTTCAAGCCACCACCCCAACTGAACCACCTGAACATCCAACGACACGCCGGAGCTATTACCGATCGCCTCCGACGATATCCCGGAAAACAGAGAGCCACATCCACTCCTCATCACGTTATCATAGTCAATGAACTGACTGTAATTGTTTGGCTCCGAGTAACAACTAATGTTATAAGGTTTTGAGTCACAACCAAGAAGTTCAAAGTGAGTTTGCACCGTAGTTGTTGGTATCATACATGGCTTGATGGGTGTGCTGCAGTTTTCCAACAGAATTCCGTTGCGTGACGTCGGAGCGTAGGTAGGGCCGAAGAGGCCGCCCAGGGCGGCGATGGGGCGGCCGCATGTGGCCGGAAGATTGATCAGTATGGTCTCGGATGTCACGAGTTGGACCGGAAAGTTTTGGACAACCATGGTGTTGTTTTCTGTGCAGTTCAGCCGGAATAGGCAGCCGGAGGAGAAGCCAAACGGCGAGGGGAGGTGTTTGGTGGAGATACCACCGCATGATCGGCTACACTTGGCCGGCGTGTGACCGGTGGTCAACGGAGCAAACAATATAGCAAGGAGTACCATGATCATACTTTGGAGTTTTGGGATGATCATCTTCAAGAACTTGCAAAACAAGGAGCAAGTAACCTTGTTTTTATGTGGGGGCAAAGAGACTTTGATACACATCTATGATCGAATAAAACAAAGGGTGATCTATTTTTTTTCTTTCCTAAAATTATTAGATTGTATAATCTTGTGAATACTAGAGCTATATCTTCGTGAGAATGATTGAAAAATGTTTGCTATCTAGTAGCTAGCATGACTAAGGGAAAGGGAACAATAGCTTCAAAGCAAATGGAAGAAATTAATTCATCTGTTACATCTCTATTATTTGAGGTTTGTTATTGATAGAGTGTGAAGGAAATAAAGAACGGATTATATCATTAGAATCTATCAATCAAAGGGCTAGACTTTTCTTTTTTCCACACCAACTTGATTTGTCGTCTTTACGTACGGAACATAAAAGTGTATATACCCTTCTAACAAATATTGTCTCTAAACTTTATGGACATTAGCGCAGTTCCTATGACTCGTTAGATGCTCAAACCTCGAATAATATTATTTGTGTTTAATTATTTGAACTGGGAAAAAAATTGAAAACAAAAAAGTATCCTCTAAACTATTTGGAGAATTATTGATGTAAATTATTAACAAATTAAACTCTCCCCACTTTAATTTTCTAAACGATTAAACAAATGGAGTTTCATAACTAGGAGCTAACAATATTAGGGTAAATTAATTTCCCAAAAAAAAAAATATATATTAGGGTAAATTATGCCCGCATTCCCCCTAGTTTAGATAATCTCACTTGCCTACCCTCTAATCATGGCCATTAAACTCCATTGACCTAAAAATTGAAAATACTCAACAGGAATAAAATTTCTTCCATTACTACAGCAAATGGGGAACTGCTGGACACTGAGGTACGGTAGACATCAAAAAAGAGATTGTTTCTCACTTCCATTCTGCACTTGGAAGGAATCCACATTCTCATCCAGGTATTACATCTCTTTCTCCCTTCATACAATCCACACTGCCATCTCATTTCCTACCATCACTTTGTGCAATCTGTTGGCACCAAAACTTGGCAGCCACTTCAGCAGCGACGTGGACCAATGGGAAGCCGATAAGGGTTTAGCATGTCCAAGAATGGATCGGCCAGTTTGAAGATATTAGGAGCAAATATAGAAAGATATATTTCAGCCACCTAATGATATGGCAGTTGCTGAAATATAGCAACTCACATTTGACTTTTTTCAAAATGGGATGTTAACAGAAAAGGAAAAGGCTAGAGTTTGGATGAAACTCAATAACTAAATTCCTATAAAATAGGAAGTTTAGTTTTATGAAAGAAGGAAAGCTTTGAAGACATGTATAGAAGGTTGGCAGCATGAAGTGAACAAATCTAATTGTGACAAGTGGCCTTGATATGGCGCTAAAGGATGGGCCACTTGGGATAGAACACGGCTGCCAAGTTTATAAAAGGAAGTTGCTAAAAATTAGCAACTTTTCAGCAACTTTCTAGCAACGTTTTAGCAATATCTCGGCAACTTACATGTGATTAAATCGAGGAAGGTTGTTTTTACAGAGATTTCCTACTGAAACAAAACAAGAAAGGAAGCAGAATAACAATAGGATTTGACTGAGTTCAAATTGTGAAGAAAAAGAATCAAAGAAAGAGAGATTTTCTAGCAATAACTTAGGAAAATAAGTTGAGATAGAACTTCTATAAATAGAAGTATTGTATTCCATTTCTAACTTGTCCAGCACCACCACAAAACATGCATTTCAACTAAAAATGTTTTCAATTGACTCTACGTCATTTTTTCCTATCAGTTACTTTATTTCAATTTAATGGCAATTGATTAGATCATTGTCAACTATTTCAATTCAGCCATTTACTTTCTTTCAATTTCAATTATGCCAATTTAAATTACGCAATTTTAGTTAGGCTTTTAATTTAATGGCAATTGATTAAATTCTTGCCATTGAATCGTAGTGACAATTGATTAAATTCTTGTCATTACTTGGCTGATGGCAATTGATTAAATTCTTGCTATCACGTTTCAGTGGCGATCGATTAAATTCTTGCCATTGTGTTTGACTGATGGCGATTGATTAAGTTCTCGCCATCACGTTCGGCCGGCGATCGATTAAGTTCTTGCCACCTGTCTTCACTCGGCCATTCCATCCATTCAAACATTCATCAGCCGTTGCATTTCTTTAGACACTCTAAAAAGTCCTTGCTACAAACAAGGCATAAAAGAACCTTGCTGGGAGTTCTTACTAGTCTCTCTCCCACACAATCGCCTGAGAGTCAGCCATCGAAAAAAGGGATAGGCTGGTGTTCAATTACATATTTTGGGTATTTTGTACAAATACTCTGGCACGCCCGCGAAGAGTCCATCGACTGGCGTAAGGAACAAAAACCGCGCGAACACATTTTGGCACGCCCGGTGGGACACTACTAGAGTGTTATAAAAGAGGCAAATATGCCGCGGCCCACAAAAAATTCTAAGGCCGTGGCTACTGATGAAGATTTGGAGGAAGGCGATCAGTCAGTACAGGCTGAGAACTCTGCAGCAGGTCCTACTGATGAGTTAGCCGTACTTCAAGCACAGATTAGCTCCTTGGTAGATGCAATGGGAAGGATGGGAGCACGCTACAATGACTTGCATGAAAATATGTCCCAACTTTCAGCTTTTATTTTGAACAAGCCGACTCAAGCTAGCAGCTCCAACAATCAGGAATCGGCTTCTCAGCCGAATCTATCACAAGCTGCTCGGCCAGAGAGGGCCGTTGAAACATCACAGCCATGGTCGCCAGTAGTGACACTCCAACCAGTTGCAACATCAAGTCAGCCGGTTCATACGCTACTCACCTGGGCAGAAAGCTATCCTCAGCCTACGTTGGCAGGTTCTAATCAGCCACCAGTAGTAGGTTCGCAGCCACAGGTAATTCTACCAAACCCTCCTCGGATGCCTTTGAATTCGGGGGGCAATCAGATCAGGTGGAGGCCACCGAACCCACTGTATACTCATGTGCCGCCACAGGTAGGGCTCGGGGGGCAGAATATGGCTAATCAGCCATATGATTGGCCGAATTGCTATCAACCAGCGGCTAATCAGCCGTCAGTTTTTAATCAGGTACCACCAATATTAAATCAGCCACCTCAAGTCATGTTAGATAGAAGACAATTAGCTGATTTACTCACAGAAGAATATGGCCTGGAACTTAGAGGTGCCGGCCGACCAATTTATAGAACTCCTTATCCAGAAGTGGTAGACCAAGTTGAGTTCCCTAGAGGATATAAAGTCCCTGATTTTGTAACCTTTAGTGGAGAGGGGAATCAATCGACCGTGGAACACATTGGCCGATTCACGGTTCAATGTGGAGAGGCCAGTGTTAGCCCGTGGTTGAAATTGAGACTTTTTCCTAACTCTTTGACAGGGGCAGCTTTTTCATGGTATATTCGTCTACCTCCTAACTCTGTTTTTAATTGGCCACAGATGGAGGAATTATTCCACAATCAGTTCTACCGTACGGAGACAGAACCTACTCTGGCCGATTTATCCAGGCTAAGTCAATTGCCTAGTGAATCGGTCGAGAAATTCATTGCAAGATTCAGGAGAGCAAGATTAAGATGTCGTGTACCTCTTCCAGAACAGGAGTACATTCGTTTGGCTTTGAACGGCCTTGATTTTGAACTTCGGAAGAGGTTTGAAGGAGTTCCATTTCGTGACATGTATGACCTGGCCGAGAAAGCTACCAGGTATGAGTTGGTTCTCAAAGAGGAGAAAGAACGAAAAAATTCCTCTAAAGGTACGTACTATAGGGACCCCAACTATGAAGTTTATTCAACTGATATGGTCGAAGAGGAAGATTTTGAAGCTAATTTGGCCGAAGTCATTCTAAAGAAACCTTATGTATGTGACGCTTTAACAAAACCAAATGTATCCACCAGTGGTACTCAGCCATCGACTTCATCGGCCAGGAAGGGTATGGCTGATACTGGTAAGGTTTATACGTTTGATCTGGCCAAAACAGAACAAATTTTTGATCATTTGTTGGCCGACAAACAAATCGTTCTGCCAAAAGGACACAATATACCATCTACCAATGATTTAAAAGGAAGAGAGTTCTGCAAATTTCATAATTCATGGAATCATACTACTAACAATTGTTATGTATTTAGAAATGTATTGCAGAAATCTATCGATGAAGGTGTATTGAAATTCCCTGAAAAGAAGCCAGATGTAATGGGGGTCGATGGCGATCCATTTCCTAATATTGTCAGTACCAATGTAATCAGCCTGGCAACTGAAAAAGCCGCTGATAATGGTAGACAGGAAAGATTACCAAAAGTTCTTGGTAGTTCATCGGCCAGTAATGATGAGCAGAAAGTTAAGGACTTGGAAATTCAGTTAAGAGAAGCTCAAATTGCCCTCATCAACCATGGTTGTTGTCCAAATTGCAAAGGCCGAAGGAATGACTCAGACAAGAGGGGCTATTTCCAATCAACCAGAAAGCGCAGTGTCCATGAAAGGTTAGGCCATCAGCCTAGACAGAATCACGAAGAAATCAATCGATCAATATTTAGAGAAAATGGGCCGAGGGCAGTGAGAATCATTCGGTCATCGTTGGCCGATAGAGTCCTGCCAGAACAACATTTTTATCCTAGTTTCAAAAGGAAACCAACAATTCAGTTAGAAATATGGGTTCAAAAAGGAGAAGAATCTAGCCGTGTAAGAACGGTTAGACCTCCTTTAGTTGACCATGGCAGATGGACTCGAGTAAGTCATCCAAAGTTTCCTAAGCAGCCTCCTACACGTACCCAAAAAAGGAGGATGCAAAGGAAAAATGCAGAACTCAAAAGGAAAGAAGACAAGATCGACCATGATCAACTAGAAAGAAAAAATGAACCAGTGGTGGCTGAAGACATGGAGGTCGCTACATCATTTGAGAATAAGGCATGCTTTTATGAAGAAAAAGATGATCAGCCCGACCAGGATCCAAAGCATGCGGCCAAGTACAGAATTCGTTTTGGTTCTCTCCCGGATAAGGTAAATTGTAACATGGTATTTGTTTTGCCTTCTGTGTTAGAAGCAAGGATAGAACCAACGGTGAACAGGGATGTTGAGTCAGCCAAGCAGGAGGAAAAGGTTGAATCTTCAGAAATTAAGAACGATTCGACAAGTTCATCGGCCGGGACAGGATTGATCTCTCAGGATCAGCCATCTAAGGCCGATAAAATAATTTTTGAAAAACCACCTTTGTCCATGACACAGCAGTTGAGGCCGTTGTATGTTAAAGTATGGGTTGAGGGTCAGCCAATCAATAGGGTTTTGGTTGACAATGGTTCGGTGGTGAATGTCATTCCATCAACTACTTTGAAGAAATTGGGTAAAACCATGGATGATGTAGTTCCAACCGACGTGGCCATCAGTGGTTTTAATGGAGGATCTAGTAACACCAAAGGTATTCTACCTTTGGAAATTACTATTGGCGGTAAGACATCCTTTATGGCTTTCTTTATCATTGATTCAACCGCGGCCTATAATCTCCTTTTAGGCCGAGATTGGATTCATCCTAACATGTGCATCCCATCAACCTTGCATCAAATGTTGATTTTTTGGGATGGAAATGAGGTAAAAATTGTTGAGGCCGATAACAAACCCTTTATAGCTAGGGTGTATTCGGCTGAGGCTGCACTTTATGATGAAACTGTTGTACCTATCAAATTTGTTGGCATTAACAGGATGAGACGACCAGCAGCGGCAACAATGAAGAAGAATTTAATTAATGCTGATATTAAAGAATTATTGTCAGAAGCAGCTCAGCCGAAAATTGATATTTTCAGGTCGACCATCAAGGACATTGAAGATGTTACTGATGGATCACAAAACCAATGAAGAAAAGAAGCGGCAAGCTTTCAGGGCCGCTTGCATCAGACTGAAAGCATATCTGGCTGAGAAGAGACTGGCCAGAGAAGAACAACTATATGAAGAGGTATCGGCCAGCACGGCCGATATAATTGAAGAAGGTTTCAAAAAGCTGGATGCAATCCAACTTGAAGATTTGGAGTCAGCCCCTTCCAGGATGGAAGATAATAAAGCAGAGGTGCAAGATCCTTTATTGGAAATAAATGTTGGTACTAAAAAAGATAATCGGCCATTATTTGTTAGTGCTTTGCTTGAGCCTAAATTCCAGGCCGATTTGATTAAATTATTAAATGAATATAAGGATTGCTTTGCTTGGAGTTATGAAGAGATGCCTGGCCTGTCTAGAAAATTGGTAGAACATAGATTACCGATCAAGAAAGATTTTCAGCCATATAAACAACCACCAAGAAGGATGTCTTCGGAAGTAATGCTCAAAATTAAAGAAGAAATTGAAAGACTTCTTAAGGCAGGATTTATTCGAACAGTTAGGTATGTTGAATGGTTGTCTAATGTTGTTCCGGTAATGAAAAAGAATGGCAAACTTAGAGTTTGTGTGGATTTTCGCAATTTAAATAATGCCACTCCAAAAGATGAATATCCAATGCCTGTGGCCGATCAACTTATTGATTCGGCCGCTAAGCATGAAATATTGTCTTTTATGGACGGCCATTCAGGTTATAATCAAATCTATTTAGTCAAGGAGGATGTTCATAAAACGGCTTTTAGATGTCCTGGGTCAATTGGTACTTTTGAGTGGATTGTGATGCCATTTGGCCTAAAAAATGCCGGGGCTACTTATCAAAGGGCAATGAATTCTATCTTTCATGATATGATTGGCCGATTCATGGAAATTTATATAGATGATGTGGTTGTGAAATCATCGGCCAAGAGACAGCATTTGGAACACTTGAAAAGGGCCTTTGAAAGGATGAGGATTCACAAATTGAAAATGAACCCATTGAAGTGTGCATTTGGAGTTTCAGCCGGGAATTTCTTGGGGTTCTTGGTACATAAACGAGGTATTGAAGTTGATCAGAACAAGGTCAAAGCTATTATAAATGCTAGGGCCCCAGCCAACAAAAAACAAGTGCAAAGGTTCCTCGGCCAGGTAGGTTTTCTTAGAAGATTTATTTCTAATCATGCTGGCCGAGTGCATGTCTTTTCGACTTTAGTGAAATTAAAGTCACATGAGAAATTTCATTGGGACGAATCCCATCAGAAGGCCTTTGATAAAATAAAAGAGTATTTGGCAAACCCCCCGGTTGTAATGCCTCCAAGAAAGAAGTGGCCGTTAAAGCTTTATTTATCGGCCGCAGAAGAATCAATTAGTAGTATGCTCGCACAAGACAATGAACATGGAAAGGAGCAGGCTGTCTACTACCTGAGTAGAATACTGACTGATGTAGAATGCAGATATTCCTCAATTGAGAAACTTTGTTTATCTTTGTACTATTCGGCCATGAAGTTGAGAGTATACATGCGGCCTGTTGATGTTTACATTCTTTGTCAGACTAACGTAATCAAGTATATGCTATCAAGGCCATTGATCACTGGCTGAATAGGTAAGTGGGCTTTGGCTTTGATGGAATTCAATTTTATCTACGTCTCACAAAAATCATTAAAAGGAAGGGTTCTGGCTGATTTTTTGGCCGATCATCCTTCAACTGATATTGATCCATGGGTTTATGATGAATTGGAGTCATCAGCTATATTCTTGACTCCTTGGATCTTGATGTTTGATGGATCAAGCACGGCTGATGGAGCAGGAGCAGGTATTGTTATTATTTCGCCAGCTGGCAGAAAGGCTTCATTCTCTTTCTTTTTAGATTTTAAATGTTCAAATAACCAGGCCGAATATGAAGCACTTATAATCGGCCTGGAGATTTTAATTGAAATGGCTGTTAGAGATGTAAAGATTTTGGGAGATTCAAACTTAGTCCTTAGCCAAATTTCTGAAGATTTTAAGTGCCTAAGTTGGCAATTAAGGCCGTTTCATTCTCTGGCCACTTCATTAATTAATCAATTTGATAATGTTCAACTTAAGTTCTGGCCGAGAGGGCAGAATAAGGAGGCCAACAGCATGGCTCAAGCAGCCTCTGGAATAAGAGTACCAGCCGGAATAGAAGATCAGTTGATAAAGATAACACGAAGATCTTTGCCATCGGCCGAATTGAGAAATACTATGTTTGATACTTGGAGAATTGATGTAGAAGATTTGGCCGACGATGACTGGAGGATACCATTTATAATGTTCCTTTGAAATCCAAACATCAAGGCTGATAGAAGTATTAAAAGAAAAGCGATCAACTTTGTGTTTCTAGATGGGGATCTATACAGAAAAGGGTTAGAAGATGGGCTCTTACTACAATGCATAAGCAAGGAGGAATCACTTCAGGTTATGGCCGAGGTACATGAGGGCAGCTGTGGGGCTCACCAAGCTGGGATTAAAATGAGATGGCTGATTCGCAGGTATGGATATTATTGGCCGAGAATGAGAAAAGATTGCATAGATTACTCAAAAGGTTGTCAAGCTTGTCAAAGACACGGGCGGATTCAGAATGTACCAGCAAAAGAATTACAGCCAATAATCAAACTTTGGCCATTCAGAGGTTGGGGCCTTGACCTTATTGGTAAAATTTAATCCACCATCAAGCGAAGGCCATCACTGGGTGATTGTTGCCACAGATTATTTTACTAAATGGGTTGAGGCCAAGGCTTGCAAAGCGGTTGATCAGCAAACAGTGATTAATTTCATGGAGCAAAACATCATCCACAGATTTGGGATTCCAGAAACACTTGTTTCAGACAATGCAACAGTATTTAGAGCAACTGATGTACTACAATTCGGCCACAACATGAATATTCATATGTCAGCCTCTACGCCATACTATGCTCAAGCAAATGGCCAGGCCGAATCTTCAAATAAGATTCTAATTGAGATCATTGAAAAAATGATCAAAGATAAGCCAAGAAGGTGGCATGAGACTTTGTCTGAAGCTTTATGGGCCTATAGGAACTCAAAAAGAACAGGCACAGGAGTTACACCATACATGTTAACTTATGGTCATGATGCTGTTCTGCCTATGGAGATGAAGGTTAAATCAGCCAGAGTTGCTTTTCAAAATAATCTAACTCCAGGTGATTATACTCAAGCAATGTTGGTAGAATTAGAAGATTTGGATGAATTTAGAAGGGATGCTTTGGATCATATCATAGCTCACAAGAAGAAAGTGATGAGGATCTACAACAAGAGGGTAAAACCTAAGTCTTTTGCTGAAGAAGATTTGGTTTGGAAAGTTGTTTTGCCAGTGGGTAAAGTCGATAGGAAATATGGGAAGTGGTCCCAAAAATGGGAAGGGCCATACTTAGTCCATCAAGTCTTAAGTGGAGGAGCATATAGGCTGAAATATTTCAGTGGCCGATTACATGACTATCCCATTAATGGCAAGTACCTCAAGAGGTATGTACCGGCAATCTTTGAAAGGGAAAATTAGTGTTAGCCAGTACTTATGGCTGACCATGTGTACCTTTATGTAATAAAAATCGGCCTAGTTTTCTAGGCTGATTTGGTTATTTTAATAAATTCTTTCTCGCTAGAATGTTGATGTTTGTTTGGAGTAACAAAAAAGGCCATTTATTCATTGAAGTGTAAAAGATTACATCATTTAAAGATCATACACTTAGATGGCCACAAAAGGAAGCTAATATATATATAAAAAAAATTCATATGTTTGCAAATTTTTCCTTGAAATCGGCCCAAATAACTAAGGACCGATTGAAGGCCACCATGGCCTGCCTCTTTGACTCTTCCAATTAAGGTAATTCTCCACGAAGATTTGCATGCTCGTGAGCAAGGTCTTGAGCTTCAAACTGCAATGTGGCAGCTTCAGCAGACAAGATGGCCTTACGAGCATGGATCTGGCCGATCTCTTTCTGAAGGACATGTTCTCTTTCCTCAAGGCCGATGAACTCTGTATTCACTCTTTCAAAGGAGGAAGCTTGAATTAACAATTGGTTAGCAAGGGTATCCTTCCTGTTTTTACTCTTGTTGAATTGGTTGATTGCTTCATTGGCTTGGAAAATATCATCGGTCATAGTTGGTAGCTGGCCTTTAAAGGTAGCAATAGTGGCTTGAAGATCAACCGGAAAGTCTGGGTACTGGCTGAGTGTAGAAAGCACTGTTGTGAGTTCACTTTCAAAATTAGGAAGATCAGCAGCATCCCTTTTCAAGATCTCAAGTAAAGATTTTTTGGTCTCTTCTAAGGATTGTATAGGGATATTGGTTGAAGTGACTGGGGTGGCTCCAGAAGATTCACTTTCTTTCTCTTCGGTCACTGAAACCACCACATCCTTAAAAAAATTGCTCAAAGCTAATAGGGATGAAGCAGGAACTTTTTGTGGAGGAAATAAAGGAATAATTTGAGTTTTCTCATACACAACCTGACAAAATGAGGAAAGATTAGATCTTAAGTTTTTTTTTTTTTTTTTGGGGACATGAGATAGTCAATACCTTAGATGATTCGGCTATGTCTGTCACTAAAAGTGGCTGATAACTGGTTTCTGGAGGAGGAAATTCTGGCTGAACCGCTGTGCTATCTCCCTGGGATAAAGTTTTAGCAGGAGTGACTTGAACATTGAAGGGCACCTCAATGGGATCATGAAAATCCTTCAGAGGGCTGAAATTTCTAACTGGGCTATAGACCAAGTCAAGAAGAGGAGATTGCTGCAAAAGAGAAGAAATTAAGGACCATATTAATTGAAAAGTTTAGAAATTTCAAGTACAGTTATCTTTACCTCTTTTTCATCTGAGGAATGATCAGAAGGAGTGTCAGTCACATTAATTACGGGATCATCGGCCACATCTTCTGTAGGATGAAGGCTTTCTAGATTTTCTTCCACTTCCTGTTTCTTACGTTTGCTCAATCTTGTTCTTTTTAAAGTGTCATGAGCAGTTGATTTCTTTCTTTTCCCCTGGAGATGGAAGCTTTATTAAAGTTTGTTTCGGCCAATAATAGTTGTGGCCGAGAATTAGAAATCAATATTGGCTAAGTATTTTAACAATTGAGCCGATATGATTGTCTTTGTATGTTAATAGATAAAAAAAAAATTTTACCTTTGGAGGAATTGGAGGAACATCAGGGATGATGGCTGATTCAGTTATTGAAGGCTGAGGAGGTTGGCTGGAGGAAATCTCATCATCTTGGGGCTCAACGTCTTCTGGATTAAGCGAGGCTGATAAAGTTCCACTGTCTGAATCTGCGGAAAAAAAAAAAGAGGGGGGTTAAGAGAATTTCAATTAAAAGTTTATATATATATATATATATATATATATATATATATATATATATATATATAAAGGAAGATCGTACCCTTGAGGAGGCTGGCAGTGGCTTTGGCCTTAGCTTTTCTCTCTTTATTGGTCCTTGTTGGAGCATCTGTTCGCTGAGAGAAAGGGAGTTTCTTGGCCGTTTGTTTTTTATCTTTGGGAGGATCTTTTTGAGGCATCTTCTTTGGGGTAACGGCCCGGGAAATTACGAATGCCCCTTCAAAGGCCACAGATATGAACTTAAAAGATTCCAATATTTTAACAACAAGGGACTGGCTATCAGCCGTCCTCGTAGAAGTAATGTAAGAAGACCACCATTGATCAAAACTAGAATCTGAGGCTGGGTTTTTGATGAAGGGTTGGAATTGGAACCCGGCTTGCAGATTTGAGAACCGGGAGGACACGTTCTTTACATAGGAGTCATCTGGAAATACCACACGCCTATGGAAGTTTTTGTTGAAAGAGAAATAAGGGGGCATGGGGATCATTTGAGTCAGACCAAATTGCCTAGCAAGTTGGTTTGGATTGTAGAACTCAACTCCAACTTTTGAGTTTACTGTGCCTAGAGGGCCAGTGTTGAAGTGAAGGTCTCTTGGAAGTAAGAAACTAGCTCACATGGCCGAATGCTTATCAGCTGATTTTTTGGTAGACACTCTTTGAGGAGGAGTCAGCCATCGAGGAGCTTGTGAGCAATGAGAAAATGGAAGGAATTGGCTGATAGTCCTCTGTTCACAACCGGAGTAAAAGAAATTGAAGCAATCTCCAAATGAATGGGATTTAGGTACGGCTGATGCGTAACTTACAGAAAGTAATGGGTCATTGGCCGAAGGCCTTACCACAGGTCCGGGTTCAGGAAAGTACACTTGAAGCCAAATTTGAAATAACCAGAGGGGACCACCATAGCGTCCGAAGTTGGAGGTAAGCAAGTCATAAATTCCTCTATATAAATGAGAAAGCACCAGGGGGGCAAGAGCAAGGTGTTTAAATCTTGAAAGGGCAACGGCCACATGAATGTAATCCTTTGTGACTTGAAAGGCCGGTACGCATAGAAGAAACTTGTTCAGCCACGCCAACAAGAAGGCAATATGTTCAGCATCATTCACAGGGACGCGAGGATCCATGGTGGAAGTTAAGTATTTGCCATAAGAGGATTCAGATGATTTGGTTCCAGTTTGCTTTGAAGGGAAGACGAAAGGAGAATCCTTTTCAACCAATAAGGTACTTACATCAATCCCAAAGGGTTTGAGGCCGGTTAGATAGCACACGTCTTGAATGGTTGGAGCCATCATGCCACATTTCAAGTGTAAGGAGTTGGTGGTGGTCGACCAATTAAACATGGCTGCTATCATCAAGGCTCTGTCTTGGGCGATGTTAGTTTTACTTAGCTGAATGGCATCATATATGCCACAATCCTTCCATATTTCTCCCTTCACAGCTCCAACTCGGTCGACCCAATTGATCCAAACATCATTTGGGCTATGCCATGTTCTAAAATGAAAGTGTGGCAAACTGCCATTTTCATTAGGAGGGAAGGTTTGAAGGAATGGAAGAACGTCGGCCGAAGGATAGAAAGGTGAGATTGATGAAGGAGCTTCATCAAGGAAAGCAGGACCTAAGCCTTTGAAGTCAGTACGAAGATCGATAAGGGTATTGAGACAGTATTTGTAAGTAGATAGAGTTTTTAGGGATTTTTTTATGATGTTGCCATGAGTTGAAGGATCGGTAGGTTGAGGGATAGAGGTGGAATCAGTTGATTTAGTTTTCTTAGGAGCCATAGAGGACGTCGGGAACGATTTCGCCGAGAAAGAATTTCAGAGATAGAAAGTTTAAGGAAAGAAGAATGATTTTAGGGATTAGAGGGTATCAAGCTAAATACTTGTTGGATGTAATAGCGGATTAGTGTAGTCGCCGCTTTAATTGGGAAAGATAACCATTAAAGCAGGTGGTTGGGAAAAGGATTTATTACTAAAATTTGAATTACAATTTTAGGCCGATTCAAATTCCAAATGCTTCGTATCATAAGTGATAAAAGCCTTTGAAATTCAGGGGGCATTTGTTGGCACCAAAACTTGGCAGCCACTTCAGCAGCGACGTGGACCAATGGGAAGCCGATAAGGGTTGAGCATGTCCAAGAATGGATCGGCCAGTTTGAAGATATTAGGAGCAAATATAGAAAGATATATTTCAGCCACCTAATGATATGCCAGTTGCTGAAATATAGCAACTCACATTTGACTTTTTTTAAAATGGGATGTTAACAGAAAAGGAAAAGGCTAGAGTTTGGATGAAACTCAATAACTAAATTCCTATAAAATAGGAAGTTTAGTTTGATGAAAGAAGGAAAGCTTTGAAGACATGTATAGAAGGTTGGCAGCATGAAGTGAACAAATCTAATTGTGACAAGTGGCCTTGACATGGCGCTAAAGGATGGGCCACTTGGGATAGAACACGGTTGCCAAGTTTATAAAAGGAAGTTGCTAAAAATTAGCAACTTTTCAGCAACTTTCTAGCAACGTTTTAGCAATATCTCGGCAACTTACATGTGATTAAATCGAGGAAGGTTGTTTTTACAGAGATTTCTTACTGAAACAAAACAAGAAAGGAAGCAGAATAACAATAGGATTTGACTGAGTTCAAATTGTGAAGAAAAAGAATCAAAGAAGGAGAGATTTTCTAGCAATAACTTAGGAAAATAAGTTGAGATAGAACTTCTATAAATAGAAGTATTGTATTCCATTTCTAACTTGTCCAGCACCACCACAAAACATGCATTTCAACTAAAAATGTTTTCAATTGACTCTACGTCATTTTTTCCTATCAGTTTCTTTATTTTAATTTAATGGCAATTGATTAGATCATTGTCAACTATTTCAATTCAGCCATTTACTTTCTTTCAATTTCAATTATGCCAATTTAAATTACGCAATTTTAGTTAGGCTTTTAATTCAATGGCAATTGATTAAATTCTTGCCATTGAATCGTAGTGACAATTGATTAAATTCTTGTCATTACTTGGCTGATGGCAATTGATTAAATTCTTGATATCACGTTTCAGTGGCGATCGATTAAATTCTTGCCATTGTGTTTGGTTGATGGCGATTGATTAAGTTCTCGCCATCACGTTCGGCCGGCGATCGATTAAGTTCTTGCCGCCTGTCTTCACTCGGC